ATGGCGGTTAAGCGCCTCATCTAATTCGATAACTTTCGGGATTTGCAATTAAATCCTATTGTTAACGCGCGCGGTCAAGTTTGCGACCTTTTGTTCCATAGAGTGTCTCTAATGAGTCGAGTCAACGTTCGAAGAATACATTGACATCGCAGATACACACATCTAGTATGACCTTTTTGTTGATATGCCAATGGAACCTATTTTTAATCCAATAATTTTATCAATCATATTTCTAATTCTATATTACTTTTAATGAGGATCCACGCAAATTATGACAGTAGGTAATAACACAAACTAAAGTTAGCACAACACTATTTACGCCCGTTTCCTTTCAATCCTTGTCCAAATCCGAATTTCAACTGTCTAATTTGAATCTGTTTTCGATAAAATATTCATAATTTTTGATGCGGTTACACTATAATATTGTTTAAATTGTATTTTAAACAATGTCAAAAAACGTAACCCTCCTTCTGGCGCAGTCGGGTAAAAAGGTTAAAAAATCGAAATCCGTAGATATTTCGACCAAAAAATTACTGAAATTTGAAAGTTGACGGACAGAATTGGATTCGGGTTGAATATAGAAAACTAGCAGCGACCAGAAAGCGATCTCTATCCGTACAACCTCGGAAGAGGCTAATTAATTGAGACTTTAACCACTAAAGTATTTCAGTATCGCAAAGCAATATAATAGTTACTTGTGATTCATCCTTGTGAATCACAAAAACAAAAGGTGACGGTATCCCTAGACTTATACAGGGTGTTAGGTAAATGGGTATATATGAGCCGACACTAGCCCATGTTAACATGGTCATATAAATGGTATGGTGGAGTCAGAAAATTGATATCTTCATTTTAATTATTTTAATTTTCATACAAATCGGATTTTATAAAATTTATTTTGTATGAAAATTTAAAAAAAAATGATGATATCAAAATTCTGACTTCACCATACCATTTATATGACCATGTTAACATGGGCTAGTGTCGGCTCATATTCCCATTTACCTAACACCCTGTAGATTATATTGACAGGCATTAGAATTTTAAACGATCACGCCATGCAAGAGCCTTGGGCCGCCCTTCACGGGAACTTGGAAACCATGCGTCACATCTCCGTGGAATATTATTACAATAATGCCAAATTAAATTATTTCCAGCTAGATGAACACTCTAACAAATTAAAATCCATTCAAACTTTACAGATTTGAAAAACAAAATTTACCGATCGTAGTATGAATTTATATCAAAATCAAAAATAGGATCATCAATGTAACATTTTCTAATGCTCAAATTAGTGAATTTATAACACATTATACCTTAATAAGCGCCAGAGTCGACACGATTAATTTACTCTTATCTAACTCTTATACAAGCATAAAACAAAAGCCAAAACAACAGCTCCTAATTGAAATAAATTGTTAATTGTAACTCGCTCAACAAGGTGCTCTAGCCGACACGCCAGGCGTTATTTGCAAACAATACTTGCAATTCACGTGTAGCACGTGCTACGTAATTATTGAAAAGTTATTTACATTTATTAAATATACTAGGTAGGTACCTATAGAAACTTTGCAGGCCAATATCCCTGATATGATATTCAAACTTGGTAATAATGGCTGTCATTCGGCTGTTTTCGCTAACGATACCAACTGAATTTCGTACGAACACTTCTTGTTTCTTTCAAATATCAAGTCTATCTAAAAGTTTTGGTATAAGTAATATGTACACAGGTACTTTTGTTTGCCAGGGGTCCATCATTCAAAGACCTACAGGACCTACCTACCATCATTCAAATATACTGTATTTGAGAAAAAAATATCACCGTTGAATCTAACTGACATTTTTAAAAAGTGCGTAGTTCCTACATCTTTCAAGGTACACACCGACAATGGAAGTAAGTAGTAACAACGTGGTCTGCACGTTTTTTACTGCGAATCTGCGGTCTAGTGGCCTTACATAGTACGTCACTAAAAGGGAAGCTTTGCAAAAAAATTTCCATCATGTTTTGTTTAAAGTAACAACGTGCTGTAAAGCTATTTAATATTAGATGTATTGTTAACTTGTTTGTGAATGTGACGAAAAAGTTTTGTTTGTTCTTTTCATCAAGTTATTCAAAACTCGTGTTAAGAGCTTCGACGTCTTTACTCTACATATAAACAGTTTTACTTTTTCCCCAAAAATAATGCAATATGTGTTGAAATAATGTACACGTTTTTTATTATTGCAACATCCTCGATTTTCGTGACGGAGGTTGAGGTAGCGGCGCCTTGGAGGCCGCGGGGCGTGCAACTACGTGTGGCGGTGCATGGACGGCCGCCGCGCCTCTGCGCATGCCCCAACTACCCCTTATAAGGGGTGCACACACCAGCCCGCCAACAGTTCGCAACACGCCTCCGTGGAGCGAGCTTACGACTCTGCTTACCCACAAGCACGCGACCACCGAAAAAGTTTGCCAACATAAACAACATCTGATTTTTTCCCAAAAAAATCAACCAACCCGTTTTTTCGACGTTTGAAAGTGGTGATATCAACGAACTTATGAAAAATAAACTAGGAGTCGATTTTGTGACGAGTGAGAAGTTCGTCNTTCACATAAGTCAGCAATGAACAAGCACAGTAGATCTGCTAATAAGAATATTAAGCAACACATAGTTAAAAGCTATTAAAAATTGCTTATTTATTACAAAACCAAACCTCATGAAGATATTTCAACTAAACTTACTTACCCAATCCTATTCCTTGTCATTTACTGCGTAAACCATGTCCAAACGATTGAAGAGAGCAAAAGCAATAGGGTTGATTTTTAAAACAAACCAAAATACCAAGTACCAAGCTCTACGGTTCTCATTAAGCACATTTTTTTCCAAAAGAAATCTTCCAACAATGAAATGTGCATCTATTTCCACTATAATGGAAGGTAATGGAGACGATCACGTTTGCTCGTCTCCGAGTGAAGTCGGAAAGAGACGAACCACGTAGACGACCGCATCACCCACGCGGCTATTGCATGACCTGGATAAAGCTCAAAGAACTTGAAAAATAATTAATAACGCCAGGTGAAACCATCTAAAAACAATATTCATGTCAATCATTGTTTTTATGCGGGAATATTTGATGAAATTCATGTTTGTAGAACGATGATATTGTGTTTCGTTCCCCTAAATACCTTGGCAAATAAAAGTACCTACCTGCTCGTATGGAATTTTTCGGATTAAATTACATTAATATTTACAACATTTATTAAAAAAATAAGAGAAATTACTGAATGTAGTTCTTTATATCTTGCCTATTTCCAATGTCTAGTCATACAACTCAAAGTCAGACCAGGCCTGTTCATCTCCGCGAGTTTGCATCGAAAACAAAACACGCGCGACTACCCCTCCTGAGATACCAAATCGACAGGACAATCACGAGCGAGTATTGACGCACGCACGTATTCTTCACCCATTTGCATTGTAAAGACATTAAACCATATGTAAAAACGGTGGTGCAATTAATACTGTGCAGTATTTTTTAACTGCCTGAATAATATTAGAAACACAAAATATAATTCATGCTTATTCATGTATTTCCTCCGCCATTTTTTGCAGTTTGGCACCTCACGTCACACATCATTTTACTGAAGTCAGCCCTATGTCTTCGGCGCAGTACCGATCACTGACGTTTGTCAACAAAAATGGTGCTCGACTCTTGAGACAAACTAAATTACACCATATTGTTAACGACATTGAGCATATATTTTTTTAAATACCTTCGCGAAGAAAATCTTCTGTACGAAGTACTTATTATTATTCTGTGGTCAGACTAAAAGTCCTATAAATAGGAGGTCACTGGGTCACAGACATCCAACTAATCAAAGATTTTAACAGGCTGCATTCTCGTGATAAATTTCAATTACAAGACAATGGGATCAAAAATTCACCAACTTAATTAAACTTTTACTCGAAATCTAGGTATATCGATTTAGTCCTTACTTATGCTCTATATTCCATCAGTATTAAGTACGTATACCTACTGGATGGTTCGTATTTACTAGTTTGGTAATCCACTTTGGAATTTCTAGGGTTGGTAATGGCGCATGGCGGTTAAGCGCCTCATCTTATTCGATAACTTTCGGGATTTGCAATTAAATCCTATTGTTAACGCGCGCGGTCAAGTTTGCGACCTTTTGTTCCATAGAGTGTCTCTAATGAGTCAGGTCAACGTTCGAAGAATACATTGACATCGCAGATACACAATATCTAGTATGACCTTTTGGTTGATATGCCAGTGGAACCTATTTTTATTCAATTAATTTTAACAAATCTAACTCTATGTTACTTTTAATAAGGACCCAGGCAAATAATGACAATAATAACACAAACAAAAGTTGGCACAACACTACCTATGTTCACCCGTTTCCCATACTCTATCATTGTATTATGAACTCAGGATTTCAACTGTCAAAGGATGATGGGCAAAATGTATGGAAAGTGGTACCCGCTCCAATAGCCATAACCAATATATATTTTAAAAGGCCTTTAGATGTAGGAAAATGTCTGCTATGGGGCCAGTTCTNAAATGAAATGAAATGAAATGAAATGAAATGAAATGAAATGAAATGAAATGAAATGAAATGAAATGAAATGAAATGAAATGAAATGAAATGAAATGAAATGAAATGAAATGAAATGAAATGATGAAATGAAATGATGAAATGAAATGATGAAATGAAATGATGAAATGAAATGATGAAATGAAATGAAATAATGAAGAGATATTTACATCTTGGCATGTACTTGGATGAAACGTAACGTGGAAAAAGCATATTTTTACCAAACGTTTACCAGCAATAGGACAACAATAACGCAAAAAGTCATAAGAAATGGTCAACCTGCAGTGGAAAATAAGGTCCTCGGGTGAAACTATTCACAAGGAAGGTGTTGACACTACACTGGTGTTGTCAAATGCGAATCGAATTTCAGCTGGACGATTGATTCAACTGTTGATTAANTCAACCAACCCGTTTTTTCGACGTTTGAAAGTGGTGATATCAACGAACTTATGAAAAATAAACTAGGAGTCGATTTTGTGACGAGTGAGAAGTTCGTCGGTGATCTGCCGGTGAACACGGTCCAGCAGCGCGGGCAGAAGATCAGTTCGCGTCGCGAATCCGTCACGCCGAAGATCGTGGTGTGCCCACCAGTGGAAGAGATGCCTGAACCAGTGTCGCAGCCTCGCGGCGGGCGTCTGCTGAAGGCCCTCAGCCGGCGGCTCTCCCGGCGCGGCACCGACGCCGACTCCCTCGGCAGTTCGAGCAGCAGCGACAGCGTTTCCTGCGAGCAAGGACGAAGTGACGACCGATCATCATGCTCAGCTAGTGACTCCGGCAGCGACGGCTCCGAAAGGCAACGCCGCCATCGGTCAACGGTCTCCCTGCGCCGCGTGTTCCAGAGCCTAAACTTAACATCGCGTTCGCAATCCTGCTCACCGTCGGAGCGCCAGCGCCAGCCGAAGAAGCAGCAGCAGCCGAAGCGCATCCTGCGGCCCCCCGTCACCTACACCTACGTCCGCGGCCTCTCCGGCCTGCCGACGCAGAGAGTACCACGACACACAGTCTGCTGCTCCTCGATGGGCTTAAACCGATAAAGTGATCCTGAAACGTATCCTTCGGAACGATCAAGGGCGGAGTTCAAGACTGGTTAAGAATTACGAGTAGTCTAAAAAGCGCTAGCGAGAGGAGTAAAGTTCTCATCATATCATTAGTAGGTGGCACCTGGGCGTCAAGCCGATGTAACGCTGTCTTCATCAAGGACCAAGATTGAGATGATGCTGGGACCGTCGTGCTGTTGGCGCAATCTTCGCAGCGCTACATGCGAGCTGTGAATCGATTAAGTTGTATTTAAGGGACAATATTAAAGACTGTGTAAATCGTTACGGGGTCGAGTCTCTTGTCAGTATTAGTAAATTAGTATAACACTTATTAAGTCATAATTATCATGAGATAATTCATGATTATCTCAATCGAGTTGCACCCTAGTACACAAATCTTTGTTCTTTTCAAATATTTTTCTAGATGTTTGTATCGAAGTTTCGATCGTGCATGATATTTTAACACAATTTAATAAATTAATCTTCTTGCATTATGTAGATAAACGAATTTGTACTGGATTGATCAGAATCTCGATGTAACATAACGTATAATTAATTGTATTTTCTTTCTGTTATTCAAGTATAGTGCCTTTCCAAATTTTAAAACTAAGTAGTTCTAGTTATATGTATACTATTAACTTTAAGAGTCGTGTACCTTGACACAATCACTATAAAAGCTGTGCTGTAAGGAATTTATGTGTTTTACACCATAACTCATACATCACTTAATGGAAAACCTACTTAAAATTGTAATCACTTGAAATATTTCGATTTTAATATACCTACTTAATTGGACTGTTTGTCTACGGAATATTATTGTTCATAAACTAAACTAATCAGTTGATATTGCTGTACACGTAGATAGTATAAATATTAAATCAACTAGATGTAAGTCATTTTTATTGCGAAGTAAGATACACTTTCGTATTCAATAAACTTATGAAAATATAACTATGTCTTATCAATCCTAATCCTAAATAACCCCAAAATAGTAACAAAGAAAATAGTACTTGTAGAATTAACAAGTCGTCATGCAGATCTCAAACATGGAGACCTAATAAAGTATTTATCTTACCATCTCTAAATACGTAATCTAAGATTTAGGTAACTACCTAAGAAAATAAGCAAAACGTATTAATCAAGCAACTGCTCTCGCCAGATCTTTCAATCTAAAAAACTCATTCAATTAACCTAGATATTTTTCCAACTAAATCTGACGTAAGCCACCCAAAAAAATTGAAATTCAGTAAACGAGTACCGATTCTCTATGGGACCATTATCTAGCTTTTACTGACCTTTTAATGAAAGGTCGAACAGCTAGGACATTTAATTTTATCTGCAGATGAATATTTGAAAAACTTTTTTAATTGACTTGAGCATTTAAATGGAAATGCGGTTTAAGAATTGTACTAACTTACAAATTATATTTTTTTTCTGCAAGAAATTCTAAAATACTTCAGTTTGAAAATATTTGCTTCCACATAGAGCTTTTAAATGTATAATTTTTCGCAAATTAATAAGTTTTACTATTATTTATTGACAGGTAGCAATTACTGTATGCCCCATAACTACATCATTTCACACATATCGAACACGTTTGTTTTGTTCAAGCCATATTAGCCTCATTATTTCCATAGAGCTAATCATCGAATAGACAGCATTAAAAATTATGGGCACGAGAAGGTATTTATACCTACGTGAAGGAAATGAAAACTAATATCTAGATTTAAATAAGTTAATAACAATAACATTACTGAAATTCATTTAATCCTTCGAATGTCTATCTCTAAATAAACACAACATAAAAGATATATGTACCTGTATAAAAAGACGAACAACTCTTTTCATGAGTATTGCAATCGAGCGAAAATTATTTTCTCATAATGAAATAGGCCCTTTTCTTTAATAATACTCATACGTAAGAGCTTATCAAAGTAAATCAACCAAGGTATTAAAGGTTTTTCGAAACTACTTACGAGTACTTCTAAATATTCGATGTACCTACTCATTTTTTTACACACATGGTAAATTCTATGGTATATTGATGTCTATGGTTGGTCCACATCAGTCACCTGCAGTGGGCACGCTGCCGGCCCACTCACCGCTCCGCACGTGATGTTCAGCTAAAACTTGTTAAAAGCTCTTTTACACCGGAAAGCTTTATAAAGTCCATCTATTTTCATTGACAGCCGAGTTATCAAAGCAGATTAAAAGGAATAAGTAAGTAAAAGCTGTTAATAACAAAAAGAGCATTTTTGAAAGAACTCTACCTATGAGTCACATATCAGCATAATCAAACAGTATAGAGGCGGTTTTAAGCTTCCAAGTAGGTACAAATGTATAGAAATCCTTGTTCATAAAGTATCTAACTTTTAAAAACAATTATAATCACGGATTTATAATTACAATCAAAAGTTATTTTTAACTTTTCACGTAACTTCGCTAACAAAGTCTTTGATCTTAAAATAAATCCGACGTTACTTATCTTAGTTAACGTGACAAAGGTGAACTTCCATAAAAAAACTCAAAAGTAAGGATCCGATACTTTAGAGATTTACGTGGGTGTTTTATTTGGGTATAACAAGGTTAAATCAATTAGATTTACTTGAATAATCAGACTTGTAAAACGTGACCTGAACAGATACAAAAGTTTAACACCACCTTGAGCTAAGCAGAAAACAATGGCCTCTGCAGCTGCCAATTAGCAGGCACAAAATAGCAATGGCTGCAATGCGGTGAGGCGCATATCGTATTTATAGGGCAGTAGACCTAGATGCCAGCTGAAAGTTGGACAGGGAGGGGAAAGGTGAACGACCGATGCATCTATCGAGCGGAGGCTGACACCGGAAAAGGCCAGGCCCTTTATAGAACTCCAACATATGCCCTCCTCCATTTTGTAAAAGCCCATTCCGGAACGGGGCTTATTTATTTTGATAGATTTATCGCTCGGCTCTGTGTGTTATCCTTATTTTGATATTTTTATATTGCTTACCCCAAGGGATTTATATGTTAAATTGTTTCTTGGAATCGTCTTATAATATTAAGCTTGCAAAATACCGCTATCAAAATGTACAAATAACCGACTCAATATGCAAAAGTGGATAGACTTTTGCATTACCAAACTCAGACCACTCAGACGCGAGTCAAAAACTACCACTATTTAGAATTCCCAAACAATTTCGCTAATCACTTCCACTAATTAAGGGGCCGTNGAAGATTAATGAATGCACTTTTCTAAATAAAACATCATCATATTATGATGACGTAGGTAAATAGAATAATATTATGTAAATTCCTGCCTGCACGCGTTAGAACAACCCTGTCATTTAAGACATAATTCACATAATGTTCCGGGCTTCTAGAATGGCTCAGATGTAAATTATATGAAAATAAAAGCTCCCTGATAAGTTCGACGGCCGAACGAGGCCATGGGAAAAGTTTTCATTGTTTAAACGTCACGATTTCATCCAATAAGTTCTTTCTTAACTATTGATTGTTACTAGAACTAAAGGATCTTGAAACACTGATACAAGAAATCTAGGCTCCAACTTTTAATGGCTGATAGAATTTTATTTTGCCTTTAATAGAAAAATCACTTACTTTCGTTCGTTTTCTAGGTAGGTACATAGATACCACCCAAAAATATGTAATAAACCATTGAGTTGTGATAGATGAGTTCGATTTTTGAGGTGGTATTCTCACGATGTCATGTAATGATGACCCAGAGCATAGCATACTTGAATATACCATATTGTCCGAAAAAAAAACATATTACGGCCTGCAAAGTAGACTTAAGGCTGTATTGCAGTCCCTATCAAGTCATTTATCAAATCTTTCTTTAGATAACACTTTTTTAATATAGGTAATTTGTGTTTTAGTTAACATATTTATTTTTACATAAAGATGTCACTGTCAAAACAGTGGAAACAGTCACTAAAGGAGACTCGTGTGCCGACACACTGAACCCCTTGGCGTGTTGATAAATTATTGTAATCAATGCGGGTCAGGTTGCTTCCAATCTTCGCAAACGGCGCGCACGTTGACTTTACCAACATAAAGTTAAGGGATTTTTCACCCTTGTTTGTATTTCATCCATACGTAATAATATATCCCCATCGTAGGTCTCAAAGACATCCTAAGTCATGACCCTGAGCTAAGTGCCTTCCCCGTCCAGACAAAAAATGAAGGTAAGCCAAAAGTTCCCCTCTTCAACTTTAGATAGAGCGCCATGACTTTGGTTTTAACGACTTCTATATCAGTTCGATAGCATGGCCAAAGCAAATTTAAGTCTGATATTGACACTATGTAAAATGGGAATTATGTTAAAGAAACTACTACAGTACGACCAAGTACGACAATCTTAAGTTACGCCTGACCTCAAACAACCACATTTTTTGTGTGAATGCATACCTATACGATACATTAAATCCAATGTAACTTATCTTTCAGTTGCTTCACAGAGATTACACGATGGAAAATATTAGCTACATAGAACTATTTAAGTTGTAACATGTTCGTAAATGTGTTCATAATAGCCTTCTACTACTGCTTATGACAGCTGAGTCATATCCAAAAATCAAATCTATAAATGAACGTCACATTATACTAGTATGCAGGAACATTACTTGTCACATCAAAACATGCGGTTGAGAGGTCTATTAATAGCAGGCCTCGGCCGTTATTCAGGCACCTAACAATGCTAATATTGGACTCAATTTGTGAAACATAACAGAAGTCCGTAATATCAAGGTCTATTCGCAACAAACCGCCGAAGGTTGGGGGGTGGAAGGCAGTTTAAATTCAGCCCAGCCATGGCCGTTGCACACTAACGCATGGCATTCAGACCCACACATGGAAATGTTGCTACTCCTGCTAACGTAGAAGGTTCCATTGAAAACGCAACAGACAGACCTCCTCGTTGTTTATCCTCTCGCCTAAGCAATACTGGAGGTCCGACGGCGGTACCTGTTTGAGGGGTTGTACATGTGCCTACGTCACTGGAAATCCATTTTGGGTCAGTAGGTCATGAGAAAGGACTGCAGCTGGTTTACCCGGGGTGGGGGTTTGATTTTTAAGCCGAGTTGTGACGTCATAGAGTATGAGCCTTGGACCCCCCGCGGCCCCCGCCGTGAATGATGAATGAATAGGTCGATTGGTGCTAACTAACGTTAACTAGGTCAAACGATGTTCCCATAGTAAATAAAGATAGCATTGCAAATGTGAATGAAAACAAATATTTAAAATGAATAAATAAATATAATTTTTCAATATGTTTCATTATTTCTACTTGTTAACTGGTCCAAAAATATTAGGTGCAAAAATATTTTTAAATTTTAAAATATCAAACATATTATTAGACTACAAAATATTTACTGTTTCTCCAACGATTTCATTAACCCCTGCTTTCGTTAGTTGCTTAATATTAAAACCATTACATAGTTATTAAATTACTACAAGTTATTTGAAACTGCGTAATAAGTAAACAGTTTCTGGGAACGCTCTGTTATCTTTTAGTAAGGCAAGGTAAAGTTTAATGTGCATTACAAACATATTTAACAAGATATTTTGTAATGCACATTATCCTTTTCATACATGATGTTTTACAGCATTAGAATAATGTGTTTTCGAATAAGTCCTTAAAGCTTTTATAAAAAGCTTTTACCTTTGCACGCTATTTCTATCGAGATAACTGTATGAAGAGCTGATAAACCTTAATTTAATGAACTAAAAATGTTTGTTCCAAAAATATTCTGTACTTTTATCCCAGCAGCATTTTCACTTTTATTTACACGTTAATTTGTGCGTGTACCCCACTTGTGAAGTAGCAGGCTTTTGCTGAAACGTGCAAATACGTGTTGCGCCGTGACCCGATTCTGCAAGGCCAGGATACGCCTCCGATGACGTACTTCCGCCGATTGAGGACCTTCGAAGGTAGTGCTGAAACAAAGGTCTACCTTCACTGCTAATGACACGTCACCTTACCTGTCCTGATGCAACGAAGCTTTTTTTACGATAAAAAGTTTAGATGGTCAATTCTTTACTGAAACATGATTTTCATCACTGATGGTCACAATCTCCTGTATTTAGGTATTAAGACACTGCATGGTGATTCTTATATCCTCCTATGACATTTTTACAACAAAAAGTTTAGGTGGTCAATTTATTACTGAAAAATTCTTCATTTTTTATATTATTTTCATTACGATGGTCACAGTCTCCTGTATTTTTAGACTTTGATGATATCTTACTAGTATTCCCGGAAAATTGTTTGAGAGTTTTGACTTTGTAATTTGAATATCTATCTGGTCAACCAACACGTAAGAGCCTCAACAAATAGGGCCAAAAATAAACACACCAAAATACTACCACTGTAAGGGCTGATTTTTCAATCAGCGGATAACTTTTAAGTGGAGAATAAGTTTGGCATATTGACAGTTTCTGTATGAGAAATATGTCAAAATGTCAATTTGATTCTAAAAGTTATTCGATGATTGAAAAACCAGTCCTAAGTATAGTAGTTTAGTAGTAGCTTTAAGTTTTTTATAAAAATTACAGAGGTTTTTGTAAACTGACCTTTCAGTATGTATGAAATCTGAGTCAATGTCGAAAAGATTATTTCAAATTATAACTTTAGTTTTACTATAAACATTGAGGAAGAGCTTAAATATCTATTACCCTTTATAAAATAACGTAGTACCTATAATAATTTAACCATTCGTAAATCAGTAAGAAAAATCATATAAAATTAGGACAAGTTGATATTTATTGAAATAAAGAATTTGTCGAGTAAGTACGTTTACTTACCCTTTACTGAGGGGTTATTATCACTTCAATAATGGAGACAAATGTTTGTACAGTGGATTGTAAGTATATCTAAACAACCAGAAAAATGAACTCTTACATGCTGACTGGTTAGAAATGGGAAACTTAAGTTTCTACTTAATGATAGCCCTATTTGTAACTTTATATCTTCTTTCTTCTTTTCAGCCAAATGACGTCCACTGCTGGACAAAGGCCTCCGCCAAGGTTTTCCACAATGAACGGTCCTGCGCTGCCCGCATCACACAGCTCGTACACACACACGGGGCACATAGCTCGTAGAGACGATGGCCGTTGGGGCAGGAAAGCTCTCGAGTGGCGACCACGGGCTGGAAGACGTAGCGTGGGCAGGCCTCCTACTAGGTGGACCGACGATCTGGTAAAGGTCGTGGGAAGAACTTTATATACCAGTAAGTAAATACTAAATTCCTTGCTTGAAAATTTTTTGTTTAAGTTAAGTTGATACAGAGATACATATTATTATTATCAACGCTACGATAAGCGTATCTTTTTATAAGACGTTGAACTTTAAACCTGTACTCCACTATGAAAATTTTATATTTTTTACGATTCGATAATCAAAGACTACCAAATATTTACGCCAAGGGTACACTTACATAACAAACAAAATTAAGATGAAAGGAACGAAACTTTTGCCAAAAAGTCTGGAAGTTCCTTTGTGATATTCCTTATTAAAAGTTGTTAGGAAAGGCGTAGGAAAGTGACTTTCTGGATCGATTAAAATTAATTTGTTTACTTCATGTTCACGTGACTTGATTGGCGTCACGCGACCGGCACTTCAACGACGTGTAAACTTCCAATTAGTTTCGTAGTATGACTGGCTGCAATCGCCTCGTGATCAATTAAGGGCAAATGTCACTATTTCAATCAATTTGGATATTGTTAAAAGTTTTAAAGGGACCTATAACTGTACTGAGAATCTGAAAACAAATGAGATTCTTATAAAAAAGTTTAAAACTTTGTTATCGAAGCCTTTTATTAGTTTTATTTTTTACTCTGTACAAATGCCTACCTATATTATATTATTATTATTATTTGAAGAAGTTCAATTTACATCTACACCAGCATAATTAAAATTCTTTCAGCAGCTTAGACATGACAAAGGTACGAGTATGAAACAAAAATATAAATGCTATGATGTACCTAAATCTTTCAACAATTAAATCATTCCAAATTAAAACTGTTTAAATTTTTCTTCATTTACTTTAGACAATAAGAAACTGTGTAGAAATAACGAAATTGTATATAGAATAAAACCTTGTGCCTAAAAAATTATATCATGTTTATGTTTATACCCTCCCGTTTTATTTCAGTCTTACATAGGCTATGTGTGGGAAGTCAGTTTTAATGAAATCTTACGCTTATCCGTTTCGTTAGTACCACGTGTACAGTACCTCTAGCATGAAAAACTTCCGACTCCGAATCGTTTACGTATTCGAATCGCCATCAAAAGATTTACACCCGTATTCACAAACGAAGCTTGCATAAGTGAAGCAGCAAATTGAATGCACAGCGTTGAATAGAGCTCTGTGATTGGTGAGGTCCCTGTGCGACCACGCGCACTGTTAGACCTCATTGTAATGTTTTTGAATACGAAAGTTATGTTAAGGCGTTAGTATGAAGACTTAAACAGCGCCTCTGTGAACGTGACTTAAAGTGAAATTAGTATGATAAATGATAGCACGAAAATAATTTTGACAATAGAAATCGTCACGTTAACGTTGAATTCGAAGGCTGGTGTTGAATTTTGTCAAATACGCAAACGATTCGAAGTCGAAAGTTTTTCGTGCTAGAGCTACAGAAGATTCGTTGTAGCAACATCGTAGTTTGTACAAGTACATGCTATAATAAAAGGATACTCCCACTCTGGCGCTAAAATTAGAATACTCGCAGTTTTCACGGAAACTGTCTATCTAATCAAGCAATATAAAGGCATGACGAAACACTTAGCGGGGTACGAATGGCAAATATTATGTATTGTGTATAATTACGACTGCTTAATTTAGAATAACAACGTTAAGTACAGATGACGGCATATCAAACCAAATACTGGTAACTCGTGTAGCTCTAATACGAGTAGGTACGACTTTGGGAAAATATGTTAGGCTAATATTATGTGCTGAAAATTAGCATAATAAGGTTATATTATGACGAATTCAACATTCTGGATTAAATAATATTATATTTAAGTATTAAGGAAGACACAACAGGCATATATTTAACATTCCTACACACGTTATACTTATATCAATTTGCTCTTTAAAATCGCTCTACAAAGAAAAGGAACGCCCGAGTAAATATGTGAACTTTTACTGTGCGCAAAAGTTGTCCTTTCAGGGCCGCGGTGTCTTCCGGCGTCGCCCAGTACAAAGTAATTAAACTAGTATATAAACCGATCGCGACATCCCAACAGCATCAGTTCTTCTGAGTTCACAAAGCAACACAGACCACTTACAAAATGATGAAGCTGGTGGTGTTGTCCTGCCTGATGGCCGCCGCGTCTGCTGGCATTATCTCTGCTTACTCTCCCTACGCTGCCTACGGCGCCATCGCCTACAGTGCGCCCATCATTGCACCCAACAACTACCGTGGGCCTCTCTCCCTGGCCCCTGGGCAGCCCGCCAACCTCTTGGGTGCTGACGGCAGGCCTTTGGACACCTTGGACGTCAACCTGGACCGCGCTGCTCACTACAACACCAAGGCTTTCGGCGGAATCCACCTCCTGAAGAAGCGCTCCGCTCCACTAATTGCTGCCGTGGCCCCCGTTGCCCCCGTGGCCCGCGTTGCACTGTCTAGTCCCGTGATCGCCTCAGCCCCGATCGCCTACTCAACCCCCATCGGTACCCCATACGGTGCCTACTACGGTTCCCACCTCACATACGCCGCTCCCTACCTTCACTACTGAAAAACATGTGTAAATATGAAATGCAATAAATCGTAGGTTCACCAAACTTTTGTGTTTCTTTTCAATCGTGCAAACTACTTTCAAGGTTATCTTTCTTAGAAGGATTTCTACATTCAAGTTAACAACGACACTGTCAACATATTGCATTGTTGCATTCAATAAGGTTAATGAAGTTAATTTATTTTACAAGTAAAATCGAGCCTTTCAAAATTAAAAAACATAATAATTTAATCAAGAACTTTAAAATCTATAACTTCAATTAATGAACACCTTTCCAATATGTGTAGGTACATGTACCTTGTAATCTTGCACTTTAATCATAAAACAGTACCTACCTNCAGTACCTACGCCTCAACCTACATAAAGGCTAATGGTGTTTTTGTTGTAGTTCATTTAATAGGAAATCAAAGCCCGAAATGGTGCCACAAGCAGCTAGGACCCGTGATCCCCAAGTCACGCCGCGCCGCTAAAGGTGAAATAGCCGTGACAAGGCTTCCCTGTGACGCACGAAGGAAACACCGAAAAATGTATACATTTATATAACTTTTATTTCTACTGAACTTTCAATTGCTGGACACCGAAATACGTCATTTGCTTTTTTATTAGCGGTAGTTCTGTTTATTTTAGATATTTTTAACTGAAACGGTTTTGGCGTCAATATTGTTTTAATTAGTACAAGTATTGTGACATTTATTAACTTATCAAAACATTACCAAAGCATCGCTATGAAAGTTTTTGGTGCGCATTCAATTATATTGTAACACAAAAGCTTCCAACACGATCAAAAGAACGCTACGAATACCTATTTACCTACTTATAACTACATTTCGCCTCATAATGATCCTAAAATACACACCCCTCGTATGGAAAATTTCTCTCACATACAGCGACAAAACAGACAATCAAACTAAGTAAACAAATTATACCTCCGGGCTCTTTGATATTAGAATAGAGAAATATCTTTGAAGTTATTATGTTTATTCACTTTTTCATAGGATATTTTATATCAATCGCAGACCAAGTATTTCTTAAAGAAGAAAAGGTTTTATTTTCTAATTTCTTTGTTACAAGAGTAGGACACCGTAGTTTTCTAAGAAACGTCATATTATTATTAATAAAGGTATTAAACGTTATACAGGTCGATGTATTACCAAAAATAATTCACAATGGAATTTAACCACTTCATTCAACTAAAAATATATCGTGGCAGGGTGATGTTAGACGAAAGGGTTCATACATATAAATTAAGGTTCTGAAAATGTAAAAACCAGTATTTCATTGTAGACGCTCATCTGAAAACCCATAATATGTTAGATACGTTTTTATAAAAGGAATAATCATAGCTATCAATCGTGATTTGAGACCACGACCTAGCCAATTCCAATAAAATTGGTCATCCGTGGAAGCCAGACACAATTTTCTATACAAACAACTCAGACATGTTTTTGCGTATACAATCTTCATAACAAGCCTAATTTGGTGTCTATTGATAAAATGATTACTAGTTATTCAAACCAACTTATCGTTCTTTTTTACCCGTAATAACACAATTAACTATATACCTTAATAGTAATAAGTTAAATCAATGTTTTTGACATTACCGCGTTTGCCGAAAGTGGTCACTTCTGAACCTAGTCTTACGCCCGTATTCACAAACATTACTATGAAGTCTCACAGTGCGCGTGGACGCACAGGGTGACACATGAACCAATCACAGAGCTCTATTCAACGCTGTGCGTTCACATTGCTGCTTGACTTAAGCAAGTATCGTTTGTGAGAATACGGGTGTAACTGATGTAGTTCTGGTGACAGATAAAAAAGAAAATCCAAAAAACAATGTATTTTCATCCCGGTATATAAAGGAATTTTCTTCTGAATGAATGTCAACTGTATCTGTTTACAGTCATTACGCGGAAAGTACTTAAAATGGGAAGCGACAGAGCACAAAAGCCAAACAAGTTTATTTTTGAAAATACTTTGAGTGAATTTAGGTCTTTCAGTGGAATAATATTCGTAATAGGTTTGAGGCGTGCGTTTGGCGCTTTCTTAAATGTGTGATTTGTCATCATCATTACCATTCAGCCTGATGGATGTAACCTTATTAAAGTCGGCCATCCATGAAGAAGATAAGCTTCCTACGCAGCGCTTTCGAACATAAACCTCCTCATCAGTGATCGATCTCCACGCAATGTTGGTACTATGCCTATTGTCAAGCTCTCTTGTAGTAGGAATTAAGTTTCTATTATTAATTTAATTAAGTTATTAATTAATAATATTTTCGAGTTGTATTTAATTATCTACTGACCGATGAAACGAATCAACATTCTTTGTATTCGTTTCAATCAAAAGACGTCCGTCCACTACTGGACAAAGGCCTCCCCCAATGTTTTCCATAAAGACAGGTGCACGCAGAATAGATACCAGTAATGGGCATATAGCATACTAAGGGCATTTGGCATCTACTGGTAACTTAATTTTTAATTTTGTGACAGCTATGAATGCCCAAATAGCGTTTTTAGTCATTTGTTTTCAGATTACTAGACGCATGATAGTACTTTTTGATGGATCTCTTTTCTGACTAGATCTCTAATGAAAGACTTCGTAACTTTCCTATACTAAGGCTGGGTTGCACCATCTTACTTTAACTTTGACAAACGTCAAAAATCTGTCAAACTCCATACAAAAAAACACCGGTTATCGTCATAGTTACGGTCAAAGTTAAGTGGTGCAACTCAGCCTTAATTTGCTTACTTCTGATGTTTACATAATTTAACGCTATTCATAATCTTCATAGATCAATTAGGATCCAACTCCCACGCGATTAAATCTGGAGCCACGCTTTAGAGCATTAATAAAAGATGAGTGATACACGTTCTACATTTATTCATGTATAAAAAATTAGAGAGTGCCGTAGCTGCGTAGCTGATCTACGACGTAGTTCTTTACTACGGCACTTCGAGACAGCCTATTGGAGTCGACATCGTTCAAAAAAACCCATAAATTAACTCCTAACGAGTGTAAGCTCCTGTCAAGAAGGTAATTGATAAAACATGAATTAACAACCTAACGAAAGATACGAGTGGTTTTGTAATGCTAAGCTAACATAAGTTGCGACTATAATATTAACTGCCTCTGATTTGCACACAAATATTGCTTCTTATTATAACTCCTGGTTCATGTGTAAGAAATAATTAGTCCACCAACAACTTCATTAAAACACTAATGCACGAATTATAACAACCTGTTCTTAATAGATTATGGTCAGTCATCTAGTAAATCAAGAGGGGTAATCCGAGTATGGCGTCTTCTTTTGCCAGCTCGAAGGCTGCCCGAAATACGACGTAGATTGCGCGGGCGTGTTCACCCGTCTGAGCAAATCTTCTATTTATCTACTTGAATGGTGGACTCTGGCGTCAACAAATTAAACATAGGCTCATATAAAAGCCGAATTTTGTCAATATCACCCAAACAATAAATACCCACTCGAATCAAGTCGTAATCCAAATACTGTCGTTAAAATTGCGTCGTATAAATTGAGCAGAATCATCTCTGTCTTATAATTTTGGAATAAGATATTCACGTTGTTGCGTAATCCGAAATTGAGCTATTGGCAAACCTGAAATGGTAAATACAAAAAAAATACTATAAAGCAGCATAATTTGAATATGAAATATTCAATGAGAACAAGGATTTTACTGGCCTTATGTTGTGACATAAAGTTTAGCTTAATTTAGTACATAATATTACGAGTATTTAACTTTCATCATAACAATGTTCTTAAAATAGCATAGCAGTATTAGATTACTTACGTTACTTTGTAATAGTATTAACGCATGTTATCAGATTGTATCACAACAAAGTATTTCAAAGAGACGTGGGGTATAATTAGAAACATTGTTAACCGAGAATGTAGACAATCTAATTTCCATTTATAGGCACAGACTATAGTCTGTAGACTTTAGCAAACATGTGGCTGCACAGATGTCGTTCTATGAGACACTTACATAAAGTTTTTTAGTTGTAGTGGGACGCACGTTTCCGACTTGCTCCACGAGGGCTGCCGCAAGGGACTACCCCGTGACCAGTCATCGGTTCCCAAACTATTCTATGATACTTCCGGTTTATACTCAAAATCAAAGTTTAAGATTTAGTTTAGATTTTTAGCGCTTCTTCTCAGCACTTGCCAAATGTTGGTCTCGAAGCGCTGGTAGGGTAAAAATATTACGAGACATGTAGAGACTTCTTAAGAGCAAAATATTTGACGATTTGTAAGCACTAATAATAGTCTATGCAAATAAAGACATTTTGACTTTCGACTGACTTTATAGTACTTAGGCCCTTTCTAGGGCGCTTATACACGTCCTAAATATAGCTTGCCCTACCACCAGTTTGGGACAATATATGGGCTGGTGCAAAAAAGAAGTTGCAGAATAAACTCAGTCACCTTTATCACTCCTAGAAACCTGCAGATCAATTTGCTTGCCATAGTAATCACCATACATGGAAGGACAACGTGTTATCTATATTGGATATCATTATAAACTAATAGAATTAAAATATTAGAGAGGTATTATTTTGGTAATCGCTTTAGTTTACCGATAGAGCAAGTTCTGAAAAATTTATCAATGAGCTTTGTAAGTTTAAGTAATTGACTTGTCAGCCAGTTCACTGCACAGAAAAAACTAGCTATCTACCGTAAATGTCAAGGAGTAGGCAGAAACTAATTTCACTTTGATTAATATACAATATTCGTTTTAGAAATATTATAAAAAATATCGTTAAGTCTTCGATAGTTTTCTACATAGTTTGAGCGCTGCAACAAACTCGTTTTTCTTGACTCACTGGGGTTCTCCTAGTCACGTGTAGACTCACATTTTCTCTATTATTTTCATATGCAGCTAAAAGTAGAGTAGGAAAAATCCGACACGCCTACAATGTAATGAGGTTTGAACGTTATTTTTAGTAACCACTTAAGGAAAATATTTAAAAAAGGTAAAATTTTTGACACAGCTAACACACCTACACATTTTGTGATATTTTTATAC